TCAGGGGGGAATTTGCATAATTAATAATTGATAATTAATAATTATTTCATACAGATTTGGATCAGACCGGTCTTACATGTTAATTTATTAATTTTACCCATATGCATACATGTGCATCCCCCGCAATCAACCACAAATTAATTGTTATTGATTGCAAGGACCACGTTTTACAAGACAGGCAAAATCAATTAGCTCAATTAAGTTATATAGCTTGTGAAAACAAATTCTGTGGCCACTAGAATCTGCCTTCCCTGCTCTATAACCAAATACCCTTAGGTATTTATAGTTCTGTAAAGCGTGTAGCTTTAAATTGACATTTCATTGACCCGTATTATGAGCAAGACATCAGTCAAGGTAAGCATATTTTGCATTTAATAAAGTTACTACTTTAAGCATTCACTACGTTACAAATGATACATGTATTTACAACATTAAAAACACAAACTAAGACGACGCAGAGCGTTTAGACAATGGATACGCGCAAGTTAAGTGAGTTTGAGAGAGAGAGTGAGAAGAGAGAGTGAGTTGTAAGAGAGAGAGAGAGTTACGTTCATCAAAACAGTCAGTTAACCTTTCTGGACACCCCAAAAACATCTTCGTAATGCTTCTTAGAAGCTCTAAAAGAAGGTATACTGCAAGGCACATGTGGTCTGTGTGAGTCGTGGGCTCGTTGCTCGACCCGTTCGGGCCACGTGTCGGCTAGAGGTGCGCCGGTCCGGCGCGCGTGCGTCACGTGAAGCGCGGCCGCGGCATGTTTGCGCGGCCCGTCCGGCTCGTTCATGGCTGCTTTGTTCCGTGGGGAGTCACGTGGCGTTCGTCGGCATTTAGCGCCAGTGTTTTGAAAGGCTGAGAGTCTTTGAGGTGACGTTACCCGAGGAGATAGTTCGGCAAAGTCCACTTCCTTTCCTGGAAGACGAACTTGGTAGTCCACTTGAGGAAAAGATGAAACTTTTAGACGAACAAAAGGAAAGACCCATGGTTGGATCAGAGTCCCGTGAGGTTTACATGTTGAGCGCTGGAAAGTTCAGAAGAGAAGAAGGGCGGACCTGCGTTCTCACATTTATCACCTTGGAGAAATCCATCCCCTTCCTGTTGGCTTGAGCCAATCGAGAGTGGATGTTGCACGCGAGAAGCCTTCTTTTATGGTCCCTTTGTTCCTCAGCGCGCGCTTCTCGTGGAAGGGGGTGTGTTAAATGAGGGTTTTGCAATAGCAATTTGATCTTCATGGCAGTACAACGAATTAAAAATACACTTTACTTTACATCTCTATGCATATTCGAGTGTTTCATTCAATAAGCATTCTAGAGATATCAAGGAACATTATGTTATATCAAAGGAATATACACTTATGTTTCAAATGCATGACGAAGGTATTTTTAATTCCTATTTAAACTGTGACCAAACAAAGTTATTTCACTGTGACATGGGGAAGACACATATACATAAAAACCATTGAAAACATTTTGTTGAATGTTTTTAAACACCAAAAGTCCTTCTCTTTGTTCAAAAACATTCCACACATTCCGATGTGTGGGGGAAGTGAAAGGTTTGTTGTGTGCGTGTATGTGTTGACGTAATTCGCCTGGCAAGATTCATTACATCTCCCCCTTTCGTTAGGTGAAGTCCTTGTGTGACTTCATCGAACGACACCATCGCAATGACGGGTGGCAGGTGAATCATGAGGGTCAGGTGGCAGGCGGCGGCTAGGCTGAGGTAGGGGCTCAGCTTGCTGAGGTTTGACGCAGTCTCCAGCGTGGTACCCTCTTCCTGAGGGTCCCGTGGTGGCTGTGGAGGTTTGCATTCTTTGCCTCTTGTGCAGCGTGGATGTCAAGTGTCAGGGTGTGGTTGATTACCGTAGAGGTACCAGTGCAGAATCAGCTGCAGTCCAGGATTGGACTACCGGTGAGGCAGTTGTGCAGTGCAACAGGTGTGCAGTTGAGACACAGCGGTCACTGGGAACAAGTCCAGTTTGGCTGGGACCCTCCTATCATCGTTCATAATTCCAGTTCTGGAATCAGGGTGAAATCGTGGGTTTCGTCCTGGCTGGGACTTGACTCAGGCTCGGTTGCAGCAGGGTAGCTCGGGTCTTGGAGCCAAGGCTGCTTGGTGAATTTTAGCAAAGTCTTTCTGGCAGACAGTGAACAGTTGTCTCGCTGGAGCTCACTTGTCTGGTTCAGTAGAATGCTGTGTGCGTTGCGGATTATCACAGTTCCTTTCAATTTCTTGATGGTCTGTGAGGAGGCACTCTGTGTTGTGAGTTACCTTTTTGCTGTGGGATTTTTAGTTCGTTTGGTTGCTGGACAGGCCGGTGTTTGACTGCGTACTGACAGCAGCGGCGTGGGAGTCCATTTAGCTCTGCTTGCGTGGCAGTCGACCATATGCTGTCTGATGTCGGATCCGGCGGTGAGGCGGTCGACAGTAAGCTGTCCTTCTGGTTGGCTGGAGGCACAGGAAGACGACCACAGCAGCATCCTGTAACAGACAGGGGAGAGAGAGAGAAAGGAGGAAAGAATTCAGCGGCTGTCGGCTGGACAGTCTGATGCCTTTGAGGATGCCGAGATGTCCTGGTGCTGCGGTGTGCAGCCCACATGGTGCGTGACTGGGCATACACTGGCATATCCCCCTTTCTGCACCGTGGCAGCACAAGCCGTGGCGAAGTGATGTCACGAGGTGCATGAAACTGAGTTGTAGGGCCGTTGAGCAGCATGTTCTTGGTGTGCTGCCTGATGTGTCCGACGGCAGGCTTGGGAGGTGTGGAGGGGTAAAGAGGTGGTAGTTTCAGAGTTCATTTGGTTAGTCAAAGTCTTTAGTGAGCTGAAAGGTGCAGAGTAACAAGTTCATTTCTCCATTTGGTGCTGAGGCTGTGCCTTCATGGCTGGCTGCGGGAGTTCTTGTGACCTCTGTGACCTGCCAGTTAGTTCTCTTGACCTGTATGACTGGAGGGGGAGGGGTTCTTGAACTTGAGCTCAGGCATTCAGTTGTTTAAAGTCTAATTAAAGGCTCAAAGCGATCTAACAGATCTTGGGCAATCAGAAGTGGGTACGTGATCGTTCGTGATCGGTACCCTGGGTGAATCAGGCTCATAGACCAAATGGATGAATGGGAGCTACCTGTTTTGAGCCAGAAGTTGTTTTGGCTGTAGGGTTTTCATTCAGCTCACATGTTTGGGCTTTGAGAGTGCGTTCTTGACTCTTAGCTTTAGCAGTGAGTCTTTCGAAGAGTTGGGCTGACATTAGCGTGATGTTTGAGCTAGTGTCTGACAGGCCTTCAAGGCTCAAATGATTGTCTCTGGTGGTGGTTATGTAGAGTCTTTTGGGCCACCCCCTTTTGTTTAGGGTTCCCAGAAGTTTAGGCATCTGGGCTGGTGTTGTGATCGATGAGCGGTTAGGGCCGGTGTTTTGTGGGACACCGGACTGTCATGCTCAGGTTGTGCAGCTGTCAGTTGTAGCGGCTGCTTGGTGTTGTCGCTTTGTGATGCGACAGTGAGCTCTGTGGTCTGATGCTGACGAGCAGTGTTCTGGGTGTCTGGCTTGGGTCTTGCGCTGAGACATAGGGTGTCTGACTTGTCTCCTTGTGATGTCTCGTGCAGAAACGCTTTCAGCACCTTCAGGATTTCTGCCGTCTGTGACGTGGCTGCACTGTTGTTATCTGATCTGTGCTCAGACTTGTGCTTACCAGTGGCGTGTTGAGAGGGTACCGCTCTGGGCTGGTTGGGCTTGAGTCTCTTGGTGCTGGGCGGTCCATTCTGGGTCGCCGGCTGGCTTCCAGAAATGTTTCAGAGCTCTTGCTCTGGGGCGTTAGATGAGCACCATGACTGTTGTGTTGCCCTCTGCTGGCCTGGAACGGTTTAACTCTCAGTGAAGGTGTTTGTGATGTATGGGGTGCCTTCTAGGGGCAGCTCTGAGTCGTGCTCAGAGACAGGTTAGTCTGAGGGTTTTTACACAGTCTGTAACCGCTAAGCTTAAAACAGCCGAGGGTTATGCAGAGGGTTGAAGTGGGCTATAGTTGACGCGCTTACCGTGGTCGATTTGGCTTGATTGAATAATGCAACAAAGCTTAAAGTTCGGTTTTCTTCTCTGTTGTGAGAGATTTATTGGATTTACACAAGGATTTCCTTTTCCATAACGGAACAGTATTCCATCTTCACCAACACTTTCACATAACAAAACATTCAACCACAGCCTCGGTGGCGGTCAAAAACTAGTTTGCCCTTTTCCCTCTGGCACACCTGTCCTTGATTACAGCTAACCTCCTAAGTAGATGAGCCCCAATTCATGTGCCATAACCCTAGTGCCACCTAATGGCCAAACCTGGACATAAACATTGAAATGGCTCCTACAACACCGGCCCCCAATTGGAATGGTTAACAAACATTACAATTCAAAACAAACCAAATTAAGGAGCCATCACCAACCTGACATAACATATTATCCAACATTTGTTACAAGAGTTCACACACATTAACACTGAAAATTGCCCATTTAACCTGCAGCCTCAAGCAAAAGGCAGAGCTTTGTAACAGGACGTTGAATGACACTTGACTTTGTTTGTAGACTCACTGAACGCACAAATCCCTTTTTATCCTGGAAAGCTTCCAACACTCTTCCTAGTGGCCAAGAACCTCGTGGGGCAGTAGGATCCATAATAACGACAATATCTCCAGGCTTCAGGTTTCTCCTGATTTCATTCCATTTTTGCCTCTCTTGCAGCAAAGGTAAATACTCCCGTATCCAACGTTTCCAAAAAAGTTCAGCAATATACTGGACTTGCTTCCATCTCCTTTTTAAATACAAGTCATGTGGCTCAAACAATCCTGGCGGCAATGATGGATTTCCTTTCATCAGAAGAATGTGGTTGGGAGTAAGTGGCTCCAAATCATTTGGATCATCTGAGAGTTTGGTGATAGGCCGATCATTTAGGATGGCTTCAGCTTCACACATAACTGTATGAAGCCCATCATCGTTCAGGGTCTGCTGTTGAAGAACTGAACTTAAAATCCTTCTCACCATGCGGATAACACGCTCCCAAACTCCACCATGATGTGAACCTGCTGGAGGATTAAAGCTCCACTTAACCCCCCTTTGCCGTAGAACTCTCTGAATTTTTCCATGATCCAAAGCTGTGAGAGCCTCTCTTAGTTCTCGCTCTGCTCCTATAAAGTTGGTTCCATTATCAGATATAATATGAGAAACTTGACCTCTTCTACAGATGAAACGTCGCAGAGCATTGATACATGCATCAGTGTTCAAAGAGTCAGCCACTTCGAGATGGATTGCTCTGCTTGCCAAGCAGGTTAGTATCACGCCATAGCGCTTGTCTGTACCACGTCCTTTCCTCACTGTAATTGGGCCAAAATAATCAATGCCAACGTTAGTAAATGGTGGTTTGTCAGGAAGAATCCTTTCCTCTGGCAAATCTGCCATTTTTTGCTCCTGCATCTTTCCATTATATTTCTTGCAACAGACACATTCTGCAATGACCTTTCTTAGAGCGGAGTTGGCGCTAGTGACCCAATACTTCTTCCGTAGTGTTGATAGCGTGTGATTCCGCCCACTATGGCCCTGCTGCTGATGAATGTGCTTGAGGATGAGAGTGGCCACATTTTGATCCTTGGCGAGGATTATTGGATGTTTAATCGACTCTGGCAAAGAACCTTTAGTCAGCCGCCCTCCAACTCTGAGAAGCCCATCATCCAAGCGCGGATCCAACCTATGGATTGTACTACGCCTGCTCACTGTAGATTTCCCAGCTGACAACATGGCGATTTCCTCTCCAAATCTCTGTTGCTGACAGTATCGAATGATAGCCAGCTCAGCTCCCATAAGGTCATCTATGGACAAATTTTGCCCTCCAGGCTTGTCCTTTAACCCTTGCCTCCTCCGTGGCACATTATTGTCTGTAGTCTGCTTACCAGCGACAGCAGATTTCTCCTCCCTCCTCCTGCGGCATTTTTCCAACAGGATGGTTTTCCATTTAAGTAACCAGGCTACTGCCACCTTGAGCTTACTCCAACTTGAGAAGTAAGTCAGTAACCGGTTTGTGGCATCAGGTAGGCCATCCACAGCCACAACATTCACTGTGACTTCCTTCTTGACCTCCTGATCATCTGGTTCCATGATAGTTTCTACCACATTTGTTGTCCAGTTAGCTTCTGGTTTACGCAAAAAACTTGGACCCTCTATCCACCTACGGCCATGAATAAAGTCTCCAGCCCTCACTCCTCTGGATGCCTCATCCGCTGGATTTTCCTTGGAACTGATGTATCGCCATTGTGAAGTTTTAGTGGCTCCTCTTATAGTCGAAACCCTGTTGGCCACAAATGTATGAAAACGTTTATCCTCGTTTTTTATATACTTCAATACAGACGTACTGTCGGTCCAAAAAATGGACTGCTGCAACTGGAATCTCAGCTCAGCCTTCAACAGCAGATCAACACGAATGGCAAGCACAGCAGCAGTCAGCTCCAGGCGAGGAATAGTAACAGTCTTTAAAGGTGTAACCCTGGCCTTGCCCATCAGGAATGCAACATGAATATCATTTCCTTCATTCATCATCCTGAGATATGTGACTGCACCATATCCTGTTTCACTGGCATCTGCAAAGTGATGCAGCTGAGCATGTCTTGATTGTCCAAAGCCCTTGGGCTTAATACACCGATCAACCTTAAACTCAGACAGCATATCCAATTCCTCCAACCACCTGAACCACCGTTGCAAGATGTCTTGTGGCACAGTCTCATCCCATCCATAATTTCTTCTGCAAAGTTCTTGTAGCATGATTTTGGCAGGCAACACCACAGGTGCAACAAAGCCAAGAGGATCGTACACCGAACTAGCCACTGACAACATTCCTCTCCTGGTGACTGGCCTCTGCTGGATCTCCATTTTGAACTTGAACGAATCACTCTCAACGCACCATTGCAAGCCAAGAGCTCTCTCAAGAGGAAGTTTGTCTCTATCCAGATTCAGTTCAGTCAGATCTTTAGCTCTGTATTCCTCTGGAATAGTCTGCAGGGTGGTGCGACTGTTACTAATCCATTTCATCAGAGTGAATCCTCCTGCCTGACAGAGAGTAATTAAATTTTTGACCATAAAGGCAGCTTCTTCATCAGAGGGCATGCTCTTCAAACAATCGTCCACATAAAAGTTCTCCTTTACTGTTTGAAGAACTTCGGCTGGAAATTCAGATTGATTATCAGCTGCTGTTTTTCTCAGAGCAAAGCTAGCACAACTCGGGGAGGACACAGCACCGAACAGATGGACAGTCATACGAAACTCAGCTACCTCCTTGCTGAGATCTCCCTCTGGCCACCATACAAAGCGCAGGAAGTCTCTATCCTCCTTTGCAACTCTGACCTGATGGAACATTGCCTGTATGTCACCCATAACTGCTACAGGTTCCAGCCTAAACCTGAGCAGGACACCAAGCAATGTACTGGTCAAATTAGGACCTTGCAAGAGCTGCTGGTTCAAAGATGTTCCCTTAAAGGTTGCGCCACAGTCAAACACCACCCGCAGACTCCTCTTCTTGGGGTGACATACGCCATGGTGCGGGAGATACCACACCCTACCACTATTGTGATCCAACTGCTGATCTGGAACTTGCTCTGCGTAGCCCAGACTGATCACCCTGTTGAGGTTCATTTTGTATTCCTCATAAAACTCTTTGTTATTAAGGAACCTCCTTTTCAGCCCGAGCAACCTTTGCTTTACTACCGAGAAGTTGTTGGGCAGAGAAACATTGTTCCTTTTAAAGGGCAGCTTCAAACTGTAATGACCATCGTCCAGTGTTACAGAATTTTCCATAATTTCCATGAACTTGATGTCTTCTACTGAAGGGCCTTTGTCCTCTGTAGCTCTTTCATTGAAATCATGATTGTACTGGCTATGTAGCATTTCTTCCAATCGTCTCACAGAAATCCTGTTGACAACTACTGAAGAGGCCTCTGTTTCCAAACTGCTGTCATTAGACTGCAAAGGGCCATTAAGGACCCACCCCAATACCGTCTTAATTGCATATGGTCCTCCCCCTTGGCTGTTTATGACCTCCCAAGGTTCCAATATCCTGGGAGCATTGCTTCCAATCAATAGGTCGACATTAGCCTCTAAGCTGGGAATCTGTACTTTTGCCAGATATGACCGTTTTGCCAACTCTTCTTTAGAGACAATACTGTCTGCACTTACAGGCATTTTCTTCTGCGTGAGGACTTCTGGTAGCTTATAGAAAACATTGCTATCCATACCAGACACCTCCAAGTCCGACAATAAATTTGCTGGCACGACCCTTTCCTGTCCCATGGTCTGTAACAGAAAATGTGTTCGTTTACCAGACAACCCAAGCCTTTGCATGAGATGTTCCGAACAGAAAGTGGCTGAACTGCCGGGGTCCAGAAATGCATAAGTTTGTACTACTCTGCCTCCTTTGATAGATTTGACTTGGACTGGCAAGATGGAAAGGAGGCAGCGATCACTTCCGACCCCTACACGGCCACAGGCTTCTTTAGATGCTGTGGTGTTAGGTCTCACAAGCTCCTTAGATCGCTCCATGTATGCATTGGCCTTGTCTCTCCTGTCGACATGAAGCACACTAGGATGTGCTTGACCGCAAATCCCACAGGTTGCACGCTTTCCACAACTGCGACTCATGTGTCCAGCACATAAACAGCCAAAGCAAAGCTCTTTCTCCTTTAGAAAGGTTATTTTATCCTGGTGCTTCTTCCCTTTGAACTGTTGACATTCCTCCAAAGAGTGACTTTGCGAACAACACACACAAATTGATCTAATAGTAGAACCATTTTCTAGCAAGTCAGTCTTTCTCTCTCCAAAGCCCCTTGCTGAATGTACAGGGGCAATAGTGGTGGCAAAACTGTTTCCTTTAAATCTTGTGCCTGGCTGCGACTTCAGCCCAATGACCTTAGCACCACCTGTACCTGGTGCTGAGTCCCGAATATCGCCAAATAAAGGGTCTGACAGAATATGGACATGTTTCTCAATGAATGCCACCAAATCCTTGAACAGAGCTCTGCGGTCAGATGTATGCATTATGTTATGTGCCGCTGACCTCCATTGCTCCCTCAGCTTGAATGGGAGCTTAGACGTGACTGTTCTCATGTTGCTTGTCATGTCTAACTCCTGCATATGTTGTATGTTCTCCATGACATTACAGCATGAGCGCAGAAAAAGTGAATAGGCCTGCAGTGCATTGACATCTTCTGCCCTTATAGATGGCCACGCAAAAACCCTTTCCATATATGCAGAGGCAACCTTATACTCGTTGCCAAAGTGTTGTTTAAGCAGCTCCTTTGCTTTAACATAGCCTAGATCAGCTGCCATGTGCTGGCAGCTTCGTACCAATTCCCGTGGCTGTCCTCTCGTGAATTGTTCCAGGTAATATAAACAATCACTTTGACTAACCTTATCCTCCACTACCTGCTCAAATGCTCGCATAAATGAAATATATTGAAGAGGATCCCATCAAATAAGGGAATCTCTCTTGCAGGCAATAACATGAAGCGCTGCTGTTGGACCAATGCAGTAGTTATTTCGTTTTGCCTTTCCATTATGGAACAGATGTTCCCCCGCTGCTGTTCCTCTACTGGCTGAGCATTGAATGAGTGGGGTCCCAAACTTTGTGGTGGTACAATATGATGACCGTCCTTTTGAGAACCAATCCTTTGGTTTAGCCCAGCCTGGCTTTGTTGACTAGACTGCTGTGTTAGCCTAGCTGTAGGTTGTGGATTGCCAATTGGCAATGCCCAATCCTGGCCCTGCTGTGCTTGGTGGTGGTTTACAGGCCTGTATTCCTTTGCCATAGGATTGAGCGCAGTAACATTTGCTGGTCTTTTGCTTTTACTCATATAAGAACTCATTCCATTAGATGTGGTACTGATGTCAGAGGCAGAGGCCAGCACTTCCAGTTTGGCATTGGAGGCAGCTAGCATAGCTTCCAGCTCAAGTTGCTCTCTTCTCCTTTTTAGTTGTTGCTCCTGTTCCTCCAATGCATGCCGTTCCTTTAAAGATGCAGCCTGAGCAAGCAGTGCAGCTCTTTCTGCCTTTTCCTTTATTCTTGCAGAGTTAGTAGATTTTCCACTACGAGAACTCCTCCTGCTTGATTGCTTGCTAGAAACATTTGAGATACTGTCCTCTGGCCTGATATCATCATTATTCTGCTCATGCTTTTTACCTTTTTGAGAACCTTTTTCATCCCCACATTCATTACCTTTATTACCTTTTTTTAATTGAATAGCATTTAACCAGCGGTTTACCTCAGACAGCATTTCATCATTGCAAATCATTTTTGCTTTGAACCAAATATCATGTTTTTCCCTTTCACCCTCAGGTAATATGACCAGCAAGGAATCATGAACACATTTTGCATCATCACACAAATCAACAAGAGCACTCATTGTACATTGTACACCTTCTTTATCACTTATTTGCATAAGCTCTTTGATTTTCTCCCTTAGCTTAGAAGCCTTATTTAATTTAGCCTTCCTATCATTTTGCAGTCTTTCCAGCTTTTGTTCAAATGCCTTTGCAGTTAATGTTACAACACGTTTTTCCTTTTCTTTTAACACACCCGGACCATCTGCTTTACTGTTACATTCAGCTGATTGCGCAACCGCCTCAGCAGCTGACACGTCTTTTTCAAGTAAACTCATAGTGCACTTAAACGTCACCACGTAATCAATTGTCAATGTAATTTCCTGTCAATACAAAGTTACCGTTCAGTTCTTTCTTTACCAATGCATTGGATTTTTTACGCCCGGGTAATTATAATAGTGTGCACACAACTCATGAATGGCCATTCAATTACTTTGTAGCGCTACAACATACCTTACGTGGGGCGCCTTGTAGATGAAGAACCGTTTCACGATGTCCTCACATTGGTGAATGATGAAAGAAGTTTATCGTTGTCCTCAAACAGTTGCATAGATTGGTTCCGTGCTGGCTGAGCACCGCCGCGTCACATCACCGATGCTGGGCTGAGCGGGTAATCTCCCCGCTGACTCCGTTTCAGCCTGTCCTCTCGCCGGGTTCCGATGTGTAACACAGCCGGGCAGATACACGATGAGTAGCTTTCAGATGTCCCCTTTCCAGCGTCCACTCCGCATGTCTTTAACGGTGGACATCTAACTCCACACGCGACGATCTTCCCGCTTCATAAAAGGTAGTTTTTGACTTTATGTAACCGCTAAGCTTAAAACAGCCGAGGGTTATGCAGAGGGTTGAAGTGGGCTATAGTTGACGCGCTTACCGTGGTCGATTTGGCTTGATTGAATAATGCAACAAAGCTTAAAGTTCGGTTTTCTTCTCTGTTGTGAGAGATTTATTGGATTTACACAAGGATTTCCTTTTCCATAACGGAACAGTATTCCATCTTCACCAACACTTTCACATAACAAAACATTCAACCACAGCCTCGGTGGCGGTCAAAAACTAGTTTGCCCTTTTCCCTCTGGCACACCTGTCCTTGATTACAGCTAACCTCCTAAGTAGATGAGCCCCAATTCATGTGCCATAACCCTAGTGCCACCTAATGGCCAAACCTGGACATAAACATTGAAATGGCTCCTACACAGTCTTTTCGGACAAAGTCTTAGCTTAATGTGAGCTTTGCGGGCCCAGTCTCATAGCTGAGGTAGACAGGCTACAAGCACAGGCCAGGGTGCTTATCGACTAACTCACTGTGGGATGCAGGTTTTAAGGGAACAAAGTTCTGAAACTGGTATCCTTTTCATACCTGATGGTTTGCTTCTCGAAGTAGGCTTGCCGAAGTCGGTGGAGTTTCAAGTCGGTCTTACTTGATGTCCACGGTGGTGATAACCCTTGGTCTGATTCTGGATCAGGGAGTTAAGCGATCAAAGCTTATTGCAACAGCTGGTAGTCCATTTTGACAGTCTCTGTTTGACGATCTAGGAAGCTGTGCACCTCGCGACTGGACGTAATCCATATCAAGCAGAATCTGTTTCATGCAGTCATGTGGGTTAGACAGTTTGCAAGTGAAAGTCTTGTCTGCATGTCGTGGGTAGATGCAGGGTCCTGAGTGAATCTTGGGCCCTTTCTGGTTAGCTTTGTTGCATCCTTTTTGGAGCCATGCCGTGGTTTGGGGCAGTGGTTCCTTGGCAGGTTGAGGTCGGTTTAAGCAGGGGCTCTGTGGCATTCTGGCACACTTGTTGTGAGTGACTAATGCATGGCCCTAAAAGTTCAGAACTACTGCTTAATAAGTTAGTTAAGTGTTTAGCATAAAGCTAAGTGTCTCTTGTGTCCTTATCTTAGCTGTGCATGTTAGGGCTAAGTCTTGTGTGGTTCCGAGCGTATTTCCTGGAAAGGACATATCCGAGATGAAATAAATAACATAAGGTGGTCCTTATGACTAAATTATTTCTCTGGACTTAGCTGGTGGTCCACTATGGCTCGACGAAGTGAACAATAATAGGAAAAGGACCGCTTTCTTATTTAAATTCTGCTTATTATCGACCCTCAGGACTCTAGTAGTGCCCTAGTAAATTGTTGAAATTACTTGCGTTGCAGGGTCATGAACGAGTGCATTGGTTGAAACTAAGCCAAAATAACAAATAAGGGGGTCTCTGTTTCCTTTCTGGGCCCTATTGGGAACAGAACCACACTTGGACAAGAGAGGAAATGAAATTAAATCATATAGATGACCTAAGGGAATAGCTGCTTGCTATTATCATCAAGGTCGAAGGAATGAAATAATCAATGAGGCAAAATAAAATTAAAATTAAAGCAAAAGGAAATAAAGTGATCAAAACACGGGAATGATCTGAGGTCAAGAGTGTTCAGTGGCATTAGTGACTAAACTTTGGATTTGCTTTGATCAACACTATAGTGGGTTGTAGCGGTTGGGT